GGTCCCGTAGCCTGCAGCTCCTAACCTCGGATGGGAGGGGTGGGCACCGGGAGGCTATAAATGAATAAATTTGTTAAGCAATAAACACACACACGCACACACACAAAGAAGGCTTAAAGGGAAAAAGGAAAAAAGAAAAAAAAAAAAAGTAAAAAAGGGAAGAGCCACACAGCCAGACCAGGCGGCAGGGAGTTTTAGAGCCTTTATTTATCAAAAATTTTACATATATAAATATTCTTAGACATTTTTGCATTTTACAAGGGTTTTGAGGAGTTCCGTTGTTGTCGCGGTACAGTTCGTCACACCACAAAGTCCAGCTGCTGCTAAGCCTTAACAATCAGTATTCCCTTTTTTGTTTTGTTTTTACCCCGTTTTCTTTTTTTTTTTTTCCTCTTTAAATATAAAACCCAAAAAGCTCTAACTGATCACCTGAATCGACCTGTGATAAACTCTAAGGAGAGGAAGAGCCGCTCTCTCTCGGCTGTGCCGCCGCCTCCCGCGGGCTGCGGGCGCGGCGTGCGTGGGGTGAGCGGGGAAGCGCTTCCCCCCGTTTCTCAGGGGTGACAGGCGCGGGGGGCATCGGTGGTGGCGTTCTCGGCTGCTTTTATTTTTGCCCTTTTAATTTTTTTTTTTTTTTGCTTTTTTAATTTCTATTTTGTTCTATTTTACTTTTGTTTCAATTATTTTTTAATTTTTTTTGTTTTTTTTGGCCGCCCGTGGTCAGTCCATGTCCACCTCCTCGCCGTCAGCGGGGCCGCAGTCCGATCTGTCCCTGGCTGTGCTGGTGTCCCGCGCCCGGACCGGCGATTCGGGCCGGGGGAAGCTGCCGCCCTCCGCGGGGGCGGCCGCCGCCGGGTCCCCGTGCGCGGTCGTGGAGCGGGGCGAGGCTCCAGCCGGCGCGGGGGGCACCGACCCCGCCGCGGTCGCCGCCGAGTCCGTGGAGCCCGGGCCGGGCTGCGCACCCGCGGGCGCCGGCTCCGCGCCGCAGCCCGGCGGGCCGGGGTTGGCGGCGGGCAGTGGGGAGTCCCGGGGGGGCTGGCCGGCCTCGGGGCCCGGGCTGGCCTTGAGGGCGGTCTGCGGGACGAGGAAGCCCAAGGGCTGGGTGATGGGGTAGAGCAAGAAGTGTCCTTTGCCGATGAGGGTGCGGGGGGCGCAGGGGGGCAGGCTGGGGAAGTCCGGAGCGGCCTTGCGGCGTGGGGGCGAGTCGGAGAGGAGGCTCTCCACGCTGAAGGGGTTGAGCTTGTGGAAGCTGCCAGCGCCACGGGGCCCCCCCGCGCCCCCACTGCCATCCCCCGACGGGGCGGCTGTGCAGTCCTTGTCGGGCAGGCGCTGGAGCCTCCCGCTCCCGCTTCTTTGGCTGGGGTAGAAGGGTTCGGCCGTCTGGTCGCAGGTGCCGGGGGGCGGCTCGGAAGGGGCGGCGGCGGCGGGGGGCGGCGGGTGGGGCGGTGGGTGCTGCCCGCGGGGTTTGGCCTCAGGCGGGGCGGGCGAGAGGCCCCCCCCGCCACCGCTGTCGCTGTCGGAGCTGGGCGTGCTGTGGAGGGAGAGGGCGCTGGGCGAGTGCGGGTGGCGGCTTTGGCTTTTGAGCAGCTTCTTCTCGTGCTTGCGCTTCTTCTTCTCCATCTTCTCCAGCTCCTTGCGGGCGATCTCCTCGGGGTCCATGGGCTCCCCGCTGCACGTCGTGGGGTGGGAGTTGTGAGCCGGCCGCCCCGGACCCTTCTTCGTGTTCTCTTTCTTTCTCCATTTGGCCCGGCGGTTTTGGAACCAGACCTACACACCGAACAATGAGAAGCAATTAACACCCAGTGCACCGGCCCCCCGCTGTGGCCAGGGCGGTGGGAGGGGGGCGGAGGGGAGAAGCGCAGCTCAGGCCTCCCCCGTCCACCCCTTCGAGGTGCCGGCAGCCCCCATCCACAGGACTGGGCCTCTGCGAGACAGAGAGCAAGGGAGGGGACAGGAAGAGATATCCACACTTCTTTATTAACAGGGTGGGGGGAAAAAAAAAAGAGGGAGGGGGGGTACACACTCACGCACACACACGCTGCACCCTGCTCGCACTGGCGCCGAGGGGAGGGGAAGGGATTACACAGTCCCCCCGGCTCTTTGCAGTGATCGAGGGGTGCAGAAGCCCCGATCGGGGCCCGATCCCCCCGCAGTAGCACGCAAAATGCGATAAACGCAGCACAATAAGCGGCCAGAGGTGAGGGGGTGTGGGGGAACACGACGGATGACGCCTCGCCCAGACGTGCGGGGTTCGGACCTACTACCCCTCCTGGGAGACGGAGCAGAGGGACTGGATCAACCCAAAGTGTGGTTTGGTTGGGTTTGTTACAGGGAGATCATAGGAGAGAAAAAAAAATAAATCAAATCAAATCAAATCCTCTCTGCTCCAGCCTTGCTCCTGTCTGCTTTGGCGGGTCCCCGGCATCCCCGTAACCCTTGGGCACACGTGTCCCTCCTCACACCATCAGCCCTTCGGGGCAGTTGGCAGCACCGATTCCCGGCCGGATCATGACCCCAGCACGGAAGGACCGCGGGGACACCCGTGACCAATGCCGGCTCTTTTCCCCAGTCGGGCCCCGCTGGCTCCCGCGACCCCAGGCAGGGCGAGAGGCGGCTCTGGGAGCCGGTGCGGGAGGGAAAGCGGCTGGGAAAGATGCTGTGAGGCAAAGCCTACGGAGGAACCGCGGCCAACGGCGCTGGCTCATCCCGGGGGGACCGTCCGCGACGCCCGGGATGGGTTTAAAGACGCATTTCCTGTGCGCGCGGCCCCCGCGAAGCCGCCCACCCGCGCACGGCGGCAGGTCCCGGCAGGATGCGGGGCTGCAATCCGGCCTCGACGCCCGCTCACAGCCACCGCGGCATAAAAACAGCATGTGGAGATCCAATAGCCATCCCGCAACCCCTTCCCCCATCCGATTCCCATTTATTTTTTCGAAGATCAATTGAAGAAGATCGGTGCTTCCCCTCCCCGTCCCGCATCGCAAAGAGTCCGAGAAGCTCGTTAAAATTAAGTTTTAAAAGTTCCACGCGCTCTCGATACTCCTACGAGCTTTACTGGCATTCTCCAGCATACCCTGGCCCGTGATTACGCCTCATATTTGCATGCTAATTTTCTCGCCCTTGAATCATTTAAGAAAAATGTTTACAGTGGAAAAAACATACTAAAAACCCCAAATGTTTAGGGAAGCCAGGCTGGGATGCCACTCTTCCCGTTTTGCAAGATAAAAAAAAAAAATTATAATAATTGTAATGATAAAATAAACCAGCAAGTAGTAATGCAAGGCAGGGAACAAAAGGGCCGGGAGCGCACAGGGCCCGTCCCGGAGCAGGGATGCGGGTCCAAGAGGCCTCCCCAGGGACCACTCGGCGCAGGGAGAGGGTGGGGGGAAAGGGGAGGGGGGACACGTTTTTTACCTGCACTCTGGACTCCACCAAGTCCAGCCTGAGAGCCAGAGCCTCTCGCATAAACACGTCCGGGTAATGACTCTCATTAAACGCCTTTTCCAGCTCCTCGAGCTGCCAGCCAGTAAAATTGGTGCGGGTTCGTCTTCTTTTACAGCCAGGACTTTCTTTGTCCGGGTCACCCGAGTCTGAAAAGGCAGAAATACCCTCAGGTCCCTGGGAGACAGGCCTTCTCCCCCCCTCCCTGCCATTCACAGGAGCCTTTTAACTTTTGTGCTCGGTAGCGTTGGTAAAAGAGCGGGATTAAACACACACCTGCGCTAAAAATGGGGAGGAACCCGATCTGCCCTCGCCTCCTCCGAAAATGTACTTTACAGAACATTTATTCCTGAAGGAAGCTCTCCACAGGCACTCAGCTGGCAGAGAGAGAGAGAGAAGTTCCAATATTTGCGCCAACCACCAAAGGTTTCATTAAAAAAAAAAAAAAAATTAAAAGCCCCCCTTTCTTTCCCTTCCCCAGCACCACCCCCCCCGGGAGCACCTGCGTGGGTCACAGCTCACGGCCCGGTCCCACGTGGGACCCCGAGGGCAGGGCGGCCCCTGGGCCTCCCGCAGACCCCCCAAACACGGGCGGGCGTGGGGCTGGGGTGTTCGCAGCCTCTTTGAGTATGCACAACTCCAGGTTGGGGTTTTTCAGCCCTGGCTGCACCTCCCTTAACATTTTCAGCCAGGTGTGGAAATTAAGAAAAATAATAATAATAATTTGTATTTAATTGAGGTGCAGAGTGGGGCAGCCCCAAGATTAACCAGAAGGATGTTGGGTCGACGGAATGTTTTAATAGCTGAACAATAGCGGTGCCACAGGCCGGCGAGGAGGGAAGGAAGGAGAGCGCTTCCCTTTGGTTAAATCGTTTTAAAAAAAATAATAATTATCCTTCTTCATCCCCTAAATGCCAGTGATTCCCATTATTATTTTTATTACCATTTTTTAAGGGTACGATCCGAGCTCCTACCCAATGAACTTTGGGGGAAGGTACCAGGTCGGGCCCGCTATTGTTCAGGGTACACGCGTGGCCCCGCGCCGGTGGGAACGGGGGATGCTCCCGGCGCTCGGCCCGGGGCCCCACGCCCCGTCCTGTCCATCCCCTCGGGGGTCAGCACAGCCTCCCTCCCCCTCACCAGACACCCCAATATCTGTAGATGGGGATAGGGAGGATAAGGGGGTGCGGTGCTTTTCCTCCTCCGCGCTGACACGCTCCGGGCGGGCAGCGATGGTCGGGTCGCGGGGTGGCGTGGGGGGGAACACGCGACACGGGGCCGCTCCTACCTGCGAGCTTGAAGGGCTGGCTGTCCCCGCTCACCCCACAGCCGGAGGGGATGAGTGGCGCCGGGTTGACCACGGAGGCGGCGCAGGAGCCGCTCAGTAATCCATCGATGGAGAAGGGGACGGAGGCGGCCGCCGACTGCAGCTGATGCCCGGCCAGCTCGTAGACGTGGTGGTGCCCGAGCGGGTAAGGGAAGCCCACCATCCCCCCGAACTGGGCATGAGGATGCTCCAGGATGCGGCTGTCCATCATGGGGGCGGCTCTAGGGTGGGGGGTGCCGGCGGGGCTGGGGGCGCTGGCGGCGGGGCGGCTGGGGCCGGGGGTGCTGCTGGCGGAGGAGGCGGCGCGGCGAGGGGCTCATGCTGCAGGGCGCCGGGCGCTTTAACTTTATCAACATCAGGCTCCCAATAATTAGCTCAGGCTGGGGGAATTTGGGACCAATAAGAAACGTTAATCGGTCCTGACGTCAGAGACGTGCCAGTGTGGGGAGCAAACGTTTTCCATATCGATTGCTAATTATACCTGACATCCAGCCTCAATAAACAATATCAGAGCTGTCACAACACAACGAGGGGGGCTTTGATACGAACTCCAGCCCGAGGAGTGCGGCGGGGGCCGGGCGGGCAGGGGGGTGCGGCGGGGGGGAACGCGTGGATCTGCTGATACCCGGTTAAATACTAAACAGTCGGAGTTACACACACACAGCCTCCCCCCCACCCCTCCAACCCACCCTCTTCCCCCTTGTCCCCTCCCCTCGCCAAATCACTAATAGATTTCCCTTTAAAACATTCACCAGCGTGTTGTGGGGATTTTTCACCAGAAATGCTCTACTCTCTGAACCTTTAAAGTGATGTTGCTCCAATTACAGAGAGACATTGAGCGGCAAATAGACTGATCCAATAATAGGAGATTCATCATCCGCTCTTTCCAGAGCTGTCACATTGAATTTAAAACTACAAGCCTTTTCATCTCCTCTCCGGCTCTATAACAGGGGAGAGGGGAGGGGGGCAGAGGGAAAAAATGGGGGGGGTGCGGGGAAGAAGGGGGAAAAAAATAAAAAAGGAAGAGCCGCTTGCAGCGTTTAGGAGGAGATCTGAACATATCAATCGAAATCATAATTAATGCAATCTCCTATCGATTTGGCCACGGACACCCCCCCTCTCCGGCAGCAACCACAACCTTTGAATTGTGAGTGCAGGCACAACCAGAGGCAGCCTCTGTTCGCTAAAGAGGAGGCCAAAAACTAATAGCAATAATAATTTAAAAAAAAAAACAAACCCAAACGAAGTTCCCATCCCTCTATCCCTCCCCTTTCACCTTCCTCCCCACGCCCCCCGCAGAAGCAGCCCATCGCACACCCCGTGTTTCATCCCGCCAGTCATTCACAGCTCCCAAACAGCCACCAAATTTGTCCTAATTAAATTACGTCCCCATAGAAGTTTCCACCCAAATAAAACACTGATAGATTCCCCCAGCGAATAATTCAAGGGATGGTTATCCGGCAGAGTACGGGACCGGGGACCCTCAGTTTTGTGCCCTCTCCCGGTTAGAGAAACACTTTCCAAGATGCTGGGGTGATGGAGGGGGGTGTGCTTTCCAGCCCCTCCCATCCTGAGCCTCCTGGAAACGGAGCTCTCTGTCCCCTGGGCCCTGGGGGGGCCTCAACCTGGAGTCCCCCGGAGGGCTCCCCCCGCCCCCGGGAAGGTGGGAAGGGAAGAGGGGCTCAGGGAGAAGCAGCGTTTGCGTTTAACAAAGAGGAGAGGGAAAGAGCCGGGCTGGGAAATCAAACAGGGGAAAACTCTTTAAATCTTCCTGGGAGGTTCATGGGGAATTAAATCCTTGGAGTCGGGGGGCGGGCAGGGTGGGGAGAGAAAGGGAAAGTAAAAATAGGTAGGAAGGGAAAAGGAGAGAGAGAGAGGAAGGGGAAAGAGGGAGAGACACTTTATCTCTGGAAAACATACAAATAGATTTTTCAGTTATAAAATATCCAGTCAAAATGATACATTTCCTAGCGCTGGTTTGTGTGGGTATGAGAGAGGGGGAAGCTAAAACTGAAATAAAAAGGAAGTCGAGTCTCTAATCTATGTTGTCTGTCCGGAGCTGTATTTATTCACCTAATTGAATGCCATACAATATACTGCTGTATTATTGCTGTTCCCTCCCTCCCCTCTATAGATTAGTTTAATTATGGTCTCCCTGCCTCTGCTTAGAGCTAAAAGGTAGCTTGAATTTAGACTACGCAGCCCTAACAGAAATAAGAAAATGATGGGGTTGGTATTAATTCTGGGGTCAAGGGCTTCACTTTTCACCATAATTTAATTTCTTTCTCTATAAATACTAAATGTAAACTGTGTCCACTGGACCAAATTTTGCCTGTAGCAATAAATGCCTCATTTTCTGTCGGATTTCAGGAGAGGAATGCGAGGGGGACGTGTTTCTGAATACAGAATGGTAATCAATCCAGCACAGAACAAGAGAGGGGGGACTTTTCTCTCTCTCCCTCTCTTTATTATAATGAATTAATTCGACTTTATTTATCCCATTTTCTGGAGCTGACAGAATGTTAATTTGAGTTGAAATTTCTCTCGCCTCTCACTCCCTGACCCCTGGCCTCCAGATTGGCGTGTTGTAATAACCTGAATCTTTCAACAGAAGCCCTGATAATTGTTACCTTATTAGCATGCAAATTGTTTAATTAATATTATTATGGAGAAGCATACAATCCGTCCGTCACTTGACCTCAAGTGCAAGTCCACGTAGTAAGCGGCTCTGT